CTCTGCTGGGCTTTGATGGGTCTCTAGGACCATCCTGCAGACTCTCGGTCCACCCTCCTGTGTGCAGGAAAGCAGGGGTCTGCCCCTGGCTCAGTGATGCTGTTCCACGCTCAAGTGGGACTCGGGCCCTCTGCTTCCAGGCTGCTTGGTTGCCATGACAACAGCTTGCTCCCACCCTACTTCTCTCAGCCCACCATTGGTACTGAGCTCCAGGGAAAACCTCTCCACTCCAGCGCAGTGGGCACAGAAGGGGCCCACCTGGAGGCAGTGGGCACTCTTGCCGGGCCGTCCTCGTGCTGTCTGCACCATCTTGATGTCCAGGGGCTCAGCTTCTGCTTGTGCCTGTCTCCAGGGCTGTCTCCATAGCAACCGTTGGGCCCTGCTTTAGGGTTCAGGTTTCTGACTGCCTCCACACCTACCCCCTTGCTCTCTCCCCTTGACACAGGCAGTGATACATTGCTCTGCCCCATGACTCGGGGCTGAGGGGCTCAGCGGAGACTTGCCCAGTGGATGAATGGGTGGCTTTCAGTGCTAGGGCCCGCCTGCTCAGATGAAAGGGGTGTCCAGGTGAGGGAATACTTGCCTGCCAAGGTGAGAGGGTTGCCCACCTGCCCAAGTAAGAGCTGTTCAGGTGAGGGGGTGTCCACCTTCCCAGGTGAGGGGGTGCCTACCTGTCCAGGTGAGGGCTGTCGACTGTTCAGATAAGGGAGTACTTGCGTGCTGAGAGGGATTCCCACCTACCCAAGTGAGAGGGGTGGCCAGGTGATGAAGTGCCCACCTGCCCAGGTGAGGGGGTGCCCAGGTAAGGGGACACGCATCTGGAAGCAGAGGTGCTACTCAAGGTGACATGGCACATGAGTGATGAGATTCGAGTTGTTGACCCTCTCTGACATGACCCTCTGACATGTGGAGTCTCTTGAGCACCGAGTGCCAGGAGTTGGGGCCAGGTGGTCCCCTTGGTGTCTGCAGAAGTCTGTGCGCACAGACTGCTGGATCAGGTCTCCTGGGAGGTGGCAGGTGACACTGAGGACAAGCCTGCTTTGAGCCCTACCGTTAGAGCACTGCTAGGCTGGTAGGAGCCACTGGGGACTCGAGGCGGGGCCTCCAGGGTGACACCTGTGTCCCCTGACCTGGGCCGGATGGCTGCTCTGAGGAAATGGGACCAGAGGCCTGAAGAGCCGGAGGCTCCGGCCCACGGTTTCACCTTCCTCTCTGCCCCTCACGGGGGTTGGACCAGGCAGCAGACAGGGACCGGCCTGCTCACAGGGGACCGGCCTGCTCACAGGGGACAGGCCTGCTCACAGGGACCGGCCTGCTCACAGGGACCAGACTGCTCACAGGGACCACCCTCTCTCACAGAGACTGCCTGCTCACAGGGACCACCCTCTCTCACAGAGACTGCCTGCTCATAGGGACCACCCTCTCTCACAGGGACCGGCCTGCTCACAGGGCCCAGCCTCTCACAGAGACCGGCCTGCTCACAGGGACTGGACCGCTCTCACAGGAGCCCGCAGTCAGCTGCGTGTGTGACTGGGGCTGCGTTCTGCCCTGAGGCATTATCGACGGCCTGTCTGGACGCCTTCACAGAGTGCCTGCTCGGTGGACCCTTGTCCCATGGAGCTTCCCTGCTGAGCTCTCCCCGAGGGAGCCGGCTCTGTGGAGCCTTGTCTGATGGAGAAACCTGTTCTGTGGACCCTCTCTGGAGGAATGCCTGGAGGGGCCTTCTCCGTGGAGTTTTCTCTTGGGAGACTCTGCGGAGCCTTCTGTGGTGGCAGCGTCTCTGTGGAATCTTGTCTGCAGCACCTTCTCTGGAGGAAGCCCCTCAGGGACTTTTCTCCAACGGCATCTTCTGGGTGTCACCTTCTTTGGGGCGGGCAGCTGTTGCAGGGTGGAGAGCAGAGGATGCCACAGGTTGGCGCGGCAGTGGAGGGCCTTCCAGGGGTAGGGGGCGAGTGGCCAGGTCAGCCAGTAGCATCGGCAGCCTTCCTCAACATGTCAGCTGTGTGTCACAGGCGTTGTCTCATAGGACCTTCACAGGAGCGCTTCTGGTTGGCTGGTTAGCCCATTTCACAGATCTGAATACTGAGGCATGGAGAGGTGGCCGCCTGGCCAAGAGGTGACAGGGCTGGAATCCCAGCCCCGGGTCCTCTCACCCTGGGCCTTGCATGCACACAGGAGGGTGCTGGGTCACGGGGAACACTGGGTCCCCTACCCAGGCCAGAATCTCCAGGGACAGGTCAGCCCAGGCTCAGCGGGCTCAGGCTCCCCAGTTCCTCTGTAGCGCCCAACTGTGTCCTAGTCCATCCACCTTGGGGCAGGCCTGTGGGGGAGAGGGGTCCGTGGGGTGGGCAGGGCTGTGAGAGGGAAGTAGGGTGTGAGGGGAGAGGGGTCCGGGAATGGGGGTTGTGGGAGAGGCGGGGACCAGGCCCGCGGGGAGGGGTTGGCGGGGTGGGCATGTCTGGGGGGCGCTGCCGGTCCGCACCTGCCCTGGCCTCTCCTTGACCCGCACAGACATCGTGGACATCAAGCCGGCCAACATGGAGGAGCTGACGGAGGTGATCACGGCCTCCGAGTTCCACCCGCACCACTGCAATCTCTTTGTCTACAGCAGCAGCAAGGGCTCGCTGCGCCTGTGCGACATGCGGGCAGCCGCCCTGTGCGACCAGCACGCCAAGCGTGAGCGAGCGAGGGGAGCTCCACCCTGTCGGGGGCGGGGCCGGGCCAGGGCTCCACCCAGGGGGCGGGGCCGGCAGTGTGTGCCAGGTGGCCTGCTGCTGCTGCCACCACAGTCCTGCCTGCTGCTGCCCTGCCTGATGTAACCCCTCCAGACTGAGCATTCACGCCACCCAAAAGGTCCTGGAGCCCCCATCCAGAGGCCAGGGACATTTGGCCCCAGACGCTCCGCCCCCAACTCGGGCAGGCCCCTCCCCTCCTTCAAGAGCTCAG